TTTTTTTCCAGGTGCTTCTTGTCCCACTGTACATTTTCTGTCGGCGTTTGGTGATGTGATGGTGTGTGGGCGGCCCGTGTGTGTGTCCTGAGGATGTCCAGCTGTCAGAGCTCAACTAGGTTAAACTGAGTGATGTCCTTTAAATAGAGATATATTGGCAGAGGCAGGCTGACCTGATTGATAGTCCTATCCCACAGGGACATGAAAAGAGCCCCACAGTCAGACATTAAAGTGAGGAACTCTCAGTGGTTCGTATAGTAGAAGCCAAAGATTCTGTTACTTTGACATGTAAATACATGCTCCATTGCCTAACAGCAGCCACTTCCGTGCCAATGTAGAAGGTAGAAATGCAGGATTGTGACTGTAAAAGTACTAAACTCCCAAATCCCCCAGAAAATACTCTCAAGGTGCCTTTGAGCAAGGCAGTGAACCATGAGCTTTCTAGTGGATCTGCTTGGCTGTCAACAGCAAGCACCGTGGGCAGTTCCCAGGTGCAAGTACAGACATGCCCCGTCAACATTCGCAAAAATAAATAAAAAGAAAGACTTTTATGTTAAGAGAAATAATACAGTCCTATGTGCCTCTCCCCTCCTGCTCCTCTAAATTCACCACTCCACCACTCGTCCTTGTAGGCCTTCCTCTGGCAGCCAAACAAACGCCAGGCCTTTAATTGACCATGTTGCTCAGGGAAGTGTGTTCTATCAAGCAAGAGTTACGCACAAACACACACACACACACACACACAGAGCTCTCAAGTAGTGCAGCCAGCGAGATGTGAGGCATGCTACGCTGGCTGCCTAACTGCAGTCATGATGAGAATACTGAAAAGGATTTGTGTGCGTGCATGCTTACTTAACTAGCTTGTGTGTGTCAATGCATACAAATTCATTTTATTTATTTAATATTAATAATGAAATGACTCAGCCACGGCCTCAGAGTTTGCTGTGTGGCAAGTGTCAAGATTGTGTGGGTGAGAATATGAAGCTTTTATGATAACAGTAGAGAAAAAGAAAGAGAAAGAATTTCCAGAAATGTGTGTGTCGGTTAGTTTGTGGTCATTTGGTTAAACACTATTTCACTTTAGATTTCGAAATAGCTAGGGAGCCTTTACAACTGAAATACAGGACCTTTGGGGCGTCCCAGTAGTTCACCTGGTAGAGCATCTAGATTCTAGAGGCATGGGAGGACATGTAGCAAGGGCCACAGGTTGGAATCGAACCTGAGCCGCTGCAGTAAGATCTCAGCCCACAGGTGAGCTACAATGCACCCCTAAAATAAAAATAAAAGAATACAGGATCCAGTTGATACATTGTAGTGGTGCAAAGTCTAAAGTAATTAATAATTAATTCAATTGCCAAAAAACTACTGACATAGAGTAAAACCGGGCCCCTGTAGATCTGGGACCCTGGGACATTTGGTCAGGAATGAATTGTCCAGTTGTTGTTGTTGTTGTCAGGTTTCCCCTCTTTTAGAATGTGCAACTATAAAAACTGAGCAAAAGTATGATATTACTAATAAAATATTTAAAACCCATAACAT